TCTGCCAAAGATAACATCTTTTTTTACAACTTTATCAATAAGCTAAAGAATTAAATAAGATATAGTTCATATTGGACTCAGATGGTTTGCTGTGGCAAGGTGAAGACATTGTGCACTTTGAGCTCTTACTTCTTACTTAGCTTCCGCCGTCGTCCGCAACGGTTCAATCGACTTTGACATTTATAATAACTTCTTTGGGCTATTTTTGAAAATGTGCTTTTTGGCTAAAGTCCATCTTCATCTCGCATAACGTTAAGTCTGAGTACCTATTGCTTAAGCGATTAGACAGAATTCACGATATAGTGAACTTTCATGAGCTGCTTTGTGTCAATGAATTCAGGGACAAAATCGAGATCGGATGAGACGAAAAGAGATAAAAAGTCAGGAAAAGAAATAAACCAAAAAAAGAGGGAAATATATTTCATTCCATCAAAGGTTATTGCATGACAGCGGAATTTCGACAAAAGAGAAAGATGCATAAATGACGGCCTTCTCTCATAATTGCTCTCTTAAGTATGACGTCATGCACGTTTTAGCGCTACGGATCATAAATTTTACTGTGAAAAGAGGACACCAAAAGGGCAAAGTAAAACTCAAAACTCGATGAAATGACTTGATTTGAAACTGTGATGAATTCAAAAAAAGTGGTAATTTTGTACTTTACTATGACACAATGAAATACGGAAATTGACTTTTATCGTTGAAATTATCCCCTTTCGAGGCATTTTCGTTTTCATGGCTCATTTCGAAGTCGTTTAGAATTTTATTTTAGAAATTTTAAAAAGATGGCAGATAAAAGGGCCGAAGAATAGGAAAAGAGAAAATTTATTTTGACAGTCAGAAACTCATTTCATCCCGACAACCGAACATACACTAATTCTTCATCAACCCCACCAACCCATTTCCTTCGCAGACAGGTCTTTGAAATAAATTACTTTATTTTGACAAAAAGCCAACAGCTTTTCATGTCAATCCAAAACACACATCGTGCAGTGAGTCGCCTTCTTTAGAGTCTTTGAATCGCAATTATGATTAAAAGCGCCCACCAATAGAACTATTCGTCCCATTACTATAAAATATAATGTCGCATTGAAGTATTAGTCTTTTACACGTAAATTATACACCGAACAATACTCCAGTTTCGATTTCCAATGCTCTGTATTAGCCTCACTTGTGCGCAAAATATTCCTTAGTTGTGAGCGTAAAAGTGTGAGATTTGAAATCAAATTTACGGTCTTTCTTCACAAATTCCATGCGTTTTCTCGAGCTATCAATGAGACAAAAGAATATGTTACTTGGTTTTGAGGCAAACACGGAGCAAAACAGAACTCGAAATTGGAGTATTACTTTTTCTGCCCTTTATACAGTAAACACCTGAAAATAAAAACCTTGTTTTTTGAAAGTCTGGAAAAAAAGGTTCTTTTTTTAAGGGGTGCAATGTAGTTGTTTGGTAATTTTGGCAAAACAGGTTCTTAATTGGGTTTTTAATTGCTAATAGGGGATACAGTTGTTATTGTTTTGCATACATAGAAGATATTACATGGGCGCGCGGAGATACGGATTTTATCTTCGAGTGTTGAAAAGATCTCTCACGAGTGAGCGTAGCGAACGAGTGAGAGATTTTCAACACGAGAAGATAAAATTCGTATCTCAAAGCGACCATGTAATATTCTGTTTATCATATAATATAGGTATTTCATAGATAATTATATGATAAATAAGAATAATAAATGAGCTTGATATGGGCTAAAATTATATATACTTTAATATTATGTATACTTTCAACTACTGTAACAAGTAAACCTGAATCAACTCAACAAATGTAAATTCAGTAAAAGTATTTGCACACAATCTTCAAATTGAGTAACTTGTGGTTTGTTTATCCTGTAATTTAACTCTAACTAATATTATAGAGTGCTCGCACTAAATGCGTGAAATATAAATACTAYRAAATARGTGATAAATTATACAAATTCCTTTGTTTCCTATTGTATAATCAACACTATTTAGTAGTAATTAGTACTATTTGTTTCACGCTTTAAGTGCGAGCACTCTAAGAACCTGCTTAATAATGTTTGCCTAAAGAGTTTCATATTTAAGGGGTTATTAAAATGGCAAATTTCTGCCAAGAGGTTCGTTCTTATTTTCGGGTGTTTACTGTATTGTTTACAGTTTAGTTGTATACACTCATTGTACAGTCAAAATATTTAAAAAACGGTAACGTTCAAACTCTGAACTGTCGTTACGTCACATAGTGAGACAATGGCTTTGAGTATTGTAAAAACGTAATCGTCACCAAATATAGGGTGCAAATAATAGGCCATTTTCATCCGTCTGTGAAATAGGAACTGTGGTACTATTAAATACTAAATACTAGCGCGAAAAAGGCGCGAGCAGTTGGGCTGGAGTTCAATGTATAATTTTAGGAATAAAAGACGAAATTCTGTGTTTGATACTGTGATACTCTGATCAAAACACGCGTGATGTAGGGAGAGCACGAGAGAAGCGTAGGAAACCACGACGCGTACAGCACGCGTAGTATCCTAAATATTTTAGAAATATATATAATATATATATATATAAACAACTTAATAACCTCTCAGTGCTGATCGGCCTGTACAGAAAAATGATCAGAGCTCGTTCTTCAATTTTGACCCACGAACTTGGCCTGCGGATACGGATCAATGATATGTTCTTTGTAAACTCGTGATGGTTAAATACTGAATAAAAAAATTACAGTCGCAACATCTTTAAAAGACCGTGCAGCGGTAGTGATCCATCTTGTCCGAGAGAAGTGCAGTCAGCTAACTACGGCATGTAGATTCCCTGCCTGGGGCTAGCTGCAGGAGCTCCATGACGAGATCAGCTAACAAAAAGAACTAAATGGGCTTCCTGTTGCGTGAGGAACGCCTGTCTATGTGTGCACGCCTTGAATTTATAGTCTATGTTGTCTATGTTTATAAACGTGTTTGTGGTCCGTCAACTAAATCTTTCCGGAAACGTTCTCTCAGGGTTAAAAAAGTCAATATGAAGGCACTAATAGAAGCAATATTCCCTTTTTTTGGTAAGTGTTGGCCGAATTCACTGATCTATATAATTTTTGCTACCCTGGTCCCAGAGGTTTTCTTTTCTCTTCTTTTCTAGATGTTCTTTATCGTATTTTTGTCTTTGTTTTTTATATTTAACGTCGCACGTTAAATATAAAAAACAAAGACAAAAATACGATAAAGAACATCTAGAAAAGAAGAGAAAAGAAAACCTCTGGGACCAGGGTAAATTTTTGCGGGATAATTTTTGAAATTCAATGGCGCGTGTTATCTGGGACCGTACATCATTTAGCTGGGGCTGGGTGAGAAATAAGCCTAAAAGCAATTTCTTTTAAGTACCCCTACCAATAGTATGATAATTTAGCGAATCCTCCATCGATTTACGATTTTTTTCGAGGCATCTCAAAACATACAAAATACCAMATTTATATTTTGCTGCTTTGTGATTATCACAAAAACAAAACGCGCATCAATTATTTAATGGAGATAAAAGCGTCTACTTGTTCAGGTACATCTATGATAGTATCCCTACGGAATTATTCAACATAGYAAAATAATTTGTAATAGCATAAACACAAAATGAGGTGTTGGAGAATACCTTGATTTACCTTTTAGCCTATCAARCGAATGCATTAATCAGGGATTCTGTATTATGCGCTGATGCGGACCCGCATAAACGCCCATTCTCCGCATAATCCCGCATAATTTGTCAAAAAATCAATATATATGYTATCTGTCTTTGTTCCTGGCTTGAGTATTGTTTTTTTTTTTCCTTTTTCTATCTTCATACAAAGTACTAAAAAAGTATCATTTTTTAACAAAACAACGACATCGATACGTGCGATGCCATTTTATGAAATTCATTTAGTGATGGGTTTCCTGTGGCTCGGCCCAGATTCCAGCAATTAGCGGTTAATGCATAATATTTTTTAAACAGAAACAAAATAACTGAGTTTCTAAACGAAATTAGCTATGGTTTTAAGGATCACGTCATCGCGCATATAATCACCCCTGAAAATCCTGTATAATTTTGATGGTGGTCGCTTACGAGAGAGTTGACTGTATTTACAATTCCAATTAACTTCCCATAAAATCTCAAAATTCCCTATATTGAATAATTTAAATATTCATGATAGCTAGAACTGTTCTCAAAGAACTAATTAGTGCATGATTAATAATTTTGTTATGAGATTTACAATTTTCACATCAATAAGATTTATTAACACATTACTTTTCCAGTATTKTTGGACATTGTCCAGAGTTCATCTGCAAGTAAGTTACAGTAATTTGGATATATAAGATTTTAGTATAAACATACTAATGGTCTATCACTCATACTGCGCTGTGATTGGCTACTCTACTAATGCTCTAATTTGTGATAGACCACTCGCAGGAAAATCAATCTCATTAATAAATTGTTTTAAGGATATTTCAATTTGTTTTCATTATTTGACCGATTAGTATATTTATACTAAAACAATTAGAACTCTTGGCCTCGTGGACTAAGAGTTAATAGCCCATTCGGCCTCGCGGACTCGGCCTCATAGGCTATTATTAGCTTGTAGTCCACTCGACCTCAAGGTCTAATTATTAAATAGTCATTCTTGGTTCTTATAGCTGAATCTACACCAAGAGAGCATAGAATTAAATACAATGAAATTCATTTTCATATATCACAATATATAGTTCAGATGCTTTTAAAATTGTTTACTTCTTGGTTCAGGTTGTGGAATTTACGCTCTAGAGGCTGATGCAGAAATACCCAAGATTCTAACAAGTCCCAACTACCCTGCCAACTACAATTCATCCTTARCATGTTACTGGAAAATTAAATCTCGTTATTCTTCCCTCAATGTGAAGTTAAAGATTGTTAGCTTTGATACTACTGGGACCAGTGGAGCTTGTACAAATGAAACTGATAATCTAGATGTATCTGATGGTAATGGTCTCTTTGCAAGATACTGTGGTAGCAATRTACCAGGAAATTTGACCATTTCTAGTACTGGTGATAGCTTTTATCTCTTCCTGAAATTTACCAGTCGAAGTATTAAAACYAAGAAAGGCTTTAAAATGGAATACATGGCAGCTCAAGATGATTGTGAGTGTCCTGAACATTTTATTCCGGGGGGGTACTCCCCTATATTCGCTATACGGGGGCGTGCCGCCAACCAGGGTATCGGGCATTTTATTCACTTCCCAACAACTTAGCTTATAAAGTTGGAGTAAATTATGCATGGCAGGCGTATAAAAAATAAGCTTGTGATCAGAAGAAGATAGAGGAAAGTGACTATAGTCATCACTTCACTCGGCCTGTAGTTATAGAATTTATTCAAGAGATATAGTGAAAACTTTAGAAAAAGCAATTTACAAGAAAACKTATTTCTTTTGTCAAACACCCAAAAATTTCCTTTGATGAACGTAAAAATATATTGAATTGATTAGTCAAAAGGCCTGATTATCAAAAATCTTATCTCAATATTGTCTAATTAAAATTAACCATGATATCTTTTTGGAATGAAATTCATGTCTGTCATATATAAAATGTATAACCCATAAAATGTTTAATGTTTTTCAGACTGTGGCTCATTTTTTCTTGATGCTGAAATTGGCAAACCAAAGATTCTTACAAGTCCAAACTATCCTGCTAACTACCCTCCCCGGGCAAAATGTTCTTGGCTTATCACAGCACCTCCAGGGAAATTTGTAAAACTGGACTTCACTAACTTTGCCCTGGAAGATCCTGTTTATAAGTACTTCAGACAATGTAAYCATATTGCACATCATACTGTTAAAGTAATTTATTCCAATCGAACCTATTCAAGTGATGTACATCTCCTTGGAAAGTACTGTGACAACATTGTACCTGCCAATGTGATTTCTTCAAAGAGATACTTGACTTTAGTCTTTTCAAGTGGTACGTGGGTTGGGGTGTGCCGCTGGGAGCTCAAAACCCTGACCCTGTTCCAGAGTGAAATTGATGAAAACTATACCCTGTTCCAGAGTAGAACCGCTGAAAACGATACTCTGTTCCAGAGTAAAATCCAGCAATAGCTTGCGTGTAGACCAAATTTTTACCCCGTGAATTTTTACCCAGCAGCGATACACACCACACACACACCACGTTAAAAGTTTTAAACAAGATCAAGATAATTATGATGTAATACATGTAATCTGTCTATCATATGATTATGAATGTAAATTCTGACATAGAATACTATTTTTTATTTCTAATACATAGTGAAAGCAATCGTTACTTTCACTTTAATTAATATACTGTTCAAAACTGTTTATTCACACGCTACGATATTCGTTTTTACGGTTCTCTGCAACGACGTCAAAACGATAGAAATATTGAGCCAGGAAAAATATCCTGTCTTTCTCAATTTTTTCCAAAATTGCCCGACTTCACGCTCTAAGAGCGTCTAGTTCAAAAAATATTCCATAAATTTGACCTAAAAGGTCATGTAATCAACACCTAATCAACACCGTTGATAATTCAACAATCTTTGATGCAATTTTAAAAAGAAAAGAACCTACTTACAGTATACTTATCGAAGTGTTTTGCACATGGACCAACTTACTAGTCAGAAGAATCTCCAAAAAGTTATTTTCAGCCGAATGTATTAAATAAATCCTTGCTTTAACTGAAAAAAAAAACAACTTTTAATGAAAGGTCATTGATTCAGTTTCATAAGCATACTACTCGATGATCCATGCGATCTGCACATGCGCGTACTTCTCCTGATGCCTAGACTGCAGTGCATTCTGATGAGATCACAGATACCACATTTGTAAACGAATAGCTTTTTTATCACATAAAAGCGCAAGTAGCATCAAACAGTTACTAACAATATTTGTACATCTATAACGTTTGAGCTTACGGGCACGTAGTAACACAGCCAACCCAGTAGTTAATTATTAAATACTTCCGGTCGACGTCTTAAATACTTAACTTCCGGTGGTCCAAACGCGACATAATATACAGATAGATAGACTTAAAGGTAAAGCCTACGGCTAGCCCGACTGAAAATGTCTTTGCGACAAGTATTGCGCCATATTTGCATGTGTTACAGAATTCACTAGGCTGAACTTGATGTAAAGTGGTTTAGGCAAGTCATCATTTTGTTTAACTTACCTTTTTCATTTTCTTTTTTAGCCAGTTACTATTCCATGTGTACAGGGTGGAATTCTAAAGTTGAGCCTGGTTCTTTATTTTTGCGTTTGAATGCTTCTAGTAGTTACCAATATATCAGAAGCCCTCTGTACCCAGACAAATACCCTAGCAATTTGTACTGCCGTTGGCATATCACTGCCTCGTCAAGCTCCAAGAGAATCAAAGCTGAAGTGACTGACTTGAAGATCAGTAACAAGGTTTTATTTTCATGCACAAACCAACCACGTTTGACAGATGCCTTRGAAATCAAAGGTGGTGATAATTCTGCTCGTTATTGTGACCTTGWCAATGACAAATCTAAAACAGTGATATCATCAGGTCAGCATATGACGGTTGTGTTCAGAACCAATGCCTATAACTTCTTTAGGAAAAATACAGCTGGCTTTGAAGTGAGGTTCGTAGAGTTAAGCCATGCCTCTATCTTAAAGTTTGGTAAGTATATACATGCATTGAGATTTACAGCATGCAGGTCAGGGGTTCTGACAGGTTGCACAGTTGCTGGTCTGCGAAATCATGTAAAATCCGCAACTTCCTGCGAAATCGACCAATTTTCGTCAAAAACCACGATATTTGGAAAACTATAATATTTGATAATTCATCGATGAAATTAGTTAATTAATATCGATTAATATCAATAATCGATGATCAATCGATAGTCACACGAAAAGTTCCTTTAATTAATATCGATTAGCATCGGTGATCTATTCGGTTGAACCAAGGGCACCAGGACAACCATAACAGTTTTTGAATGATATTACGATTGGTATTCACTTATCTGACTTCTTGTGTATATCTTGAGTGTATCCCGAAAAAAATGACGTCATATTCTGACGTCATATTCTGTTTCAACCAATGGGATTAGACATTGCATAATCAGTTTATATATATTTTATGCGTACGCATATGTATAAGAGCGCCGCGCCTGTAGGTATATCGTTTTGAAAGTATACTACCGTATCGAAAGATCGAGGAAACGCGACCTAYTCATKGAAGTTTTCTCTGAAAATAAAAATCTACRAAKCTATGAAAATATCGTGCTATCCGGGAGATTTAGGGCTAAAATCTTGAGACCTGGAGATTCGATCTGAAATCGGGAATCTCCCGGCAAATCCGGGAGAGTTGACGTCCCTGATTATATTTCCCTTAATTTCCTAGTCACCCTATCTTTCATTTTTCACAAGACCCAAACCCAGACATGTTATAGACCCCTTGCATGTGACGTCAAAGCAGCTTCATCTGGAGGACAAAACAAAAGATTTTTAACYTCTTGGGAACTAGAATCCATTGTTTTGTCCTCCAGTTGGAGCTGCATTCCCATGAACTGCAAGGGGTCTATACATAGAATCTCCTCCAATAGCCATTACCCCCTCTAGTTGGTTGCTTACTGRTGATGGTCATCAGTGTCGGATCCAGGGGGGGGGATTCCATGGGTTCCAAGGAACCCCCCTCAAGCATAAAAAAAATAAAAATAAAATAAATGATAAATGAAATAAAATGAAAACGCATCGTACAATGAATTTTTATTCAATACATTCACACTACATTTGCTACAGTTCGAGAGGCACAGTAAAARAGTTTYGTTTTAGGAAAATGCGAAAACAAAGAGGAACCCCCCTTTGAAAAATCCTGGATCCGGTACTGGTCATTTTTTCCTTTTTCCCCTCCCCTGTCCCCTTCAGGCTTTTTACTCAGGGTAATGGCCATTTAAAGAGAGGATACGATATTCTCAATAAGTCATACAAATCTCTTTTTCTTACAGGTGTTGGAATTATCATGMTTTCTCAGTCTTTGATACAAATGATTTGATTATGTCCTGTCATTCCTGTTCATCATGGCTCTGCTCTGCTTGATAGAAAACAAAGCAAAGAGAAAACAAATACCTTGAAAATAATGTATTCAAATATTCAGTGATATATGTTTTTAAAGCAGTTTTGTCAATATTTGTACACTTACCAGAAYGCTTTACACTGATGACAAAAAAATCATGGCGTTGGCTGGTGGGCTGCATGAGCTCCCAATAAAATATTCTTCGAAAATACATAAAACAATTAGCCATCAAAGTGCGGTTCCAATGTACCAACAAGCCAAATGACCACCAAAATAGTAAAAAAAAAAGTAAAAAGAAAATAGTAAAAAAAGATGTTGTGCCCCCCGCATATCACCCATATCATACAGGCTTTGAAACTTGAGTTTACAATAGTGTCTCCCCAGAATTTTATCATGCAAAGCCGTTTAATGACGTTATACAATACTATAAATAAATGTCTTGTTGAATCTTCTGCAGCACATGCGGTATTACACTGAACAGAAGAAATGCATAGGTGAACGCCCTGGCCTGGGGTCCGGTCGATATGACACGTATGTCGTAAATGAAATAARAGATGTTSCTTATAAAAAAAAGTTCCTTCTTGTTCTAATTTGAAATCTTTGTCCATACAAGACACATGTAAAGCTAGAAAGGTCATTGATTCAGTTTCGTAAGCATACTACTCGAAGCATGCGATCCGCACATGCGCGTGATTTGATGCTTTATAGAAATGCATTTCGATGAGATCACATAGATACCACATTTGTAAACGAATAGCTTTTTAGTATATAAAAGCGCAAGTAAARTTTTTAAATTCTAAAACAACTAGTAACGCCGCTCCTCAGTAGTTGATCTTTAATTACTTCCGGTTCACAAATCTCAAATAGATACATTTACGAAAAAGGAAAACTAAAGAGTTTCAAGAACCAACAGCGCCCTTCAAAATTTATCCTTTGCTTGAAGTTCAAAAGAAACCGCAAGGGAACCTTATCGCTTCTACGGAAAAGATACATAACTTGGCTCCTGCTTTTTAGCATGAGACTTTGGCTACTAAAACACTTTTTCCAGCAGCATTTAATGTAACGGTTATGGGGRTGCTCGTCGGATCTCTTAGGGGWAAAAACCCGTGATTTGGAATCTTTTAGGGTGCCAAATTTCGAGTTTTTGGAAATTTRCTTTTCAATTCCTGCAATCTCTTCTGGGTGTCGGAACAAAGAAAGAGCGCATCCATATTTTCCTCTTCGTTTTGTTTTATCATTATATATTTTATACATTTTACAATTGGAACTAATTTAATTTAACAATGTTTGTTGTGCAATCTCTTAGGAGTTAAAAATCAGTGAGCGACGCCCCTTTTTTCAAGACTTCCGTGATCTTTTAGGGGTCTTTTTTTGAAAATTTCCGACGAGCATCACCGGTATTTTTACCCCAGAGTCAGGATTGGCGCTAATCGAGTATTGTGCAGTTGAAACACTACCACAAACTTCAGCTGTATTTTTTTAGTTTCCRAAAGTAAATGTGCATCTTAATTAGTCATCATTTTCCGACTTTTCCAAGCACTCGATTCAATAATGTGTTGTTGTTTTTTGCGAAATTCATATTATTGGCAATTATTACGACTATTGGTCTGTTTTTCATTAAATGTAGCTTTTAGGGAAGGTACGGTTTATTACTGGGGGGGAGGACTGGAGTTTTCAGAGTAATTTTTTCATAAGAATGTGTGACCCTCCTTAGTACTTTTGACCCTCCCCTCAAAAGTTCCAAAAATACAAAATTTCTTTCTTTTCAAAATATAAATATAATTGTTATTGTTTTCTTTCTAAAATGCGAAGTGACCTTACATCTTTTAAATTCTTAGAGCATAAYGTGAATGCAATCCGAAAGCTAACTTTTCGCTGAAATGATAAAAATATTCAGAATAAATGGAAAAGTAAAGATCGCGTGAGTCCAATCGTTTGGGCTACCTGTTTCATTGCGCGTGCGTATTAATTAATTTTTTTAGGTCACGCAATCCCMTTTTTAATACCACACCGAACTCCATTGCTTTGGAATAAGTTTTTCCCTTACCAAAACATCATAACTACAAATGAATACATCATCTAATAATGCTCTCAAGCAGCGACAAAGAAAGTCCATCAGCAAGGAGAAGAAATTAGATAAATGCCCTGAAAGAAAGGCAAATGATTATGGGAAAAGGTGAATTTTGATTTGACTTCTCGGCGAATGAACATTAAGCTATAAGCCTAAATACGTACTTATTATTATTTTGATTCTCTATTATATTCATTTGTTTTGACAGGGTTCACCATGAAGAAGCGTCTTTGCTTAATTCTTCAAGTGGTTTTGATAACTACAGAGGAATTCTGAACCTATGCATTGTGCTACTTGTAAGTTTGTGTGACAACATGTGATTTATAAAAGTTAACATCGAAATGTATAAATTAAGAGGGTCATGCGCAGGACTTATTGTCATTCACAATATTTTAATATATTATTTTATACAGCCTTTTGCACAAATTATGAGACATTTTTATATATATAAATATACCTAACCAAATATCAAAAACAGTCCAGAAATTATGGTATATCTCTATTATATTTTGTCATGATTGCCTAGCATCAGGTTGTTACAGACAAAATATCAGCGACAGTATCCCATAATTTCTTGGGTGTTTTTGATATTTGGTTAGGTATATTTATATATTATATAAAAATGTCTCATAATTTGTGCAAAAGGCTGTATTAATTATAATATTAATTATTGTTTTTAGAAGCGAAATTTATAATTCCCAAGCAAAAATGAACATACTGAAATTGCATTATTATCTAATTTAGAATTTTAATAATTTATTATAATTTAATATAATTATTTTAAAATAGAGTACAAACTAAAATAATAGAGTGCAAGTCACATAAGCATGAAACAATTCTTAACTATGTAGTGCTAGATATTAAGATTTAGTTATCAACTAACTGAGATTAATTGAGAACAATGCTACAAAGGAATTTAAATAATTGGCATTGTGTTTATGCTTTGTTGAATTCTTAGTTAGTTGATAACTAAATCTTATTTAGCAATAAATATTAAGAATTGTTTCATGCTTATGTGACGACGCACTCATGAAATACTAAACCAAACAGTGCTAAATAAAGATAGTATTTGGGCTCATTGATATTAAAAAAATCATTTTAATATATTGCCTTTTTAAAGGAAGCTATTTTAATGATTGTTGTTTTTTGCTTTCTAAGGTTCTGTCTAATTGCCGTGTTGCCCTTGACAACATTCTAAAGTGAGTATAGTACAGACAGACTACTTGATAGATTCATTAAGTGCTTAAGGCAAGGGTGGTCTAGTGGTTAAGCTACTGGCCTCTCAC